CTTTGCTCGTAGAATATAGTAGGTATCAAATAAATATGATATGATCTGTAATAAGATAATAAAAAGAAACCTTTCAATGAATGCACGGTTCGATGTCATGAACGGTTATCGATGATCTTCGCTTCCACATTGCATCGATAGTTAGTTCGAAAATATTTTTGTGTACAGTATCACTGATTAGAAGTTTCTCTTATTTTCCTATGCTTTCCTTTTTAAACTGTATTCCAATAATTGTTTTAACAAAAATACACAAAACATCGTGTAAACATTCGTTTACTATGTCTAACTAAAGTTGATCGAGATTTTCTTCTTTAAGTAGTTTTAGTTCATTCGAATTGTTGCCATTATCGTGTGACATTACCAGAACTTGTCACCTACTACTAGTTCATATATTTATTATATGTCTTTGTTCTTCCTTTTTAGGACAGAATTGAACCAATCAATTTAGTTTTTTATCATTATATGAACTGTTGCATAATCAAGATAATGAAAAATTCTTTAAAAAAATATTTTCTACAAATCTTTTCGAAATACATTGCCTATACTTGGTTTACTGTCACTAGGAGCTATTAAACTTGCTTGAGTAAAGAGTTGAATAATCCGATCTAATGGTACTTTATCCGATAAATTCAATAGTTCTTTGTATGGCTTAAGTACTTCAACTTCCTTGACTTTTTCGTCTAATTTATCGCGTATTAACATGAATGGATAAAGTATGTTATAATACGGGAAGCCTGAAACGCGCCAATAAATAGACATTGTATGTTTTATTTTTGATAAGATTTCTTCATGATGATTGGTTGATATTAAATAGATCGGAGTTGGTTTTTGTGTTCGAAATGAATAATATATTTACCATAAAGGGTTTTTTCTTTATTCATAGTAAAAATCTGATGTTGCGAGCCGATGTATTGATTGGTGGAACGATTCGTCATACTGATGAAATATCTGAAATCCTAAGCATTAGCAGCTTAAGTATTATTGACAAAGCAACGGTAGTAAGGTATCATTTGTTTCGATTGAAAACTAGTCTCATTTTTGGCTTCCTTATTGCAGCAATTAAGATGATTTGGACTGAATAACTAAAATTGATAGTATCCTTTATTTTCAAGAACTTAGGAGGTAATCATTTTCATGTATATTTCTGTTATATACCAGTAAATTTTCTGTTTCTTTTTCTTTCATATGCAATGAGCTTCCGTATAGTTTCTATGTGAGCAGAATACAGTATTTTTGAAAAACGATTGAAATGATGTTTTTTTGTTGACTTATGTTTAGTTGAGAATGGAAGTAAGGCCGAAAAATAGAATGGTCTTTAGTTTTTACAGCATCAATATTATTAAATATTCATTTTCTGGATTTTTTCCTCTTGCTGTTATTGTATATGACGGCAAATTATTCATAGTTGTACTTCATTCTATTGATTAGGTATTTAAAGAAAGAGGAGGAAACAGCCGTGATATTGGAATGAAATTATATACTAATCATGTCGTAAGGTATGTTATTATTTATTTTCGAAACTGTATCACTGAATATAGACCTTTAAAGTATGATCGCTGTTGACGAATATTCAGTGAAAATATTACACGCCCTCTCTTATTTTGACTCAACAGAACGACCTAAATTGCTGAAACGATTGTATAAATATAAAAGGTATACATGCGTAAGTAATATTATTACAATATTATTAACAACGACGACACTATTCAGGCAATGCGAAAAAAATTATCTTTGCTAACTTTTTTATTCATATTCATCTTACTGATAAATATACCTTCTTCACAAGGACAAACTAGCAGCATAACAACAGCATCAGCAACATCAACAACATCAACAACATCAACAACATCAACAACATTGACAACGACAACAATATCATCAGGGTCAACAACAACAATAACATCAACAACAGTAACAGCAATGGCATCAACAACATCAACAACACTAACAGGGACAACAATATCAACAGCATCATCAACATCAATAATGACAATGACGACAACGTCATCAACACCAAGCTGCTCAAACACTCTATTGATAGTGAATAAAAGTTAGTTGAATGTTAATGTTTCATACATATTAAATATAAATCATTATTAAATGTTTTGTTTACTTTCAGCTATGGAAACAATGATACTAATCACAACATTAGGTTATCTCCTACGTTGATAGTTGTCCAGATTGAAGCTTTTAAGGAACATTTATTTCTACTTGAACTTTGATTCTTGATTGTATTTTTATATAAATTATATTTTTCAATATTTTATCTATCAACGAATAAATAACTTTTCATCAAAATACATGAAGCATTCTAAGCTACGATCACAAATGTTTTGCGTCAAATGATTGTGAGAGTTTGACAGTTGTAAATGATAAGTGAATCTCTTTTCTAGTAGTACAGATTGAACAATGTTGGTTATTCTTCGGTTTGTTTCATTCCGTTAGTTAAGTAGACATCAATAGTCAGGTTGATGTATTCTGAAAACGTCTAATAAACTAAACGTTACAATGTCAATATGCTTATGACAGACATCTCGGTGAAAAATTTTCAACTAACAATCAAGAATTTGTTTGTTATACATAATACAATCTACATAGTTGTTAAAATCTGTTTTTTGCAGAAGTTATTTTGGTAAATTTAATTGTAATTCGACAACACGTTAAAGAAATAATCGTTTTTGAATTTCATAATAGATTCTCTAGTCTATAATTAATTTTGTATGAAAAATCGATTAGAATTTTCAAAATCCATGCAAATCTCGATTCTAGATAATATGATTGAGATATTTTCAATGGCTTCATATTGATAATAATTGATCATGTTGTAGTTAGAAATCAAATTTAAACTCATTCAATGCATCTAAATTGATAAAATATTAGATCAAGTAAATAAGAAGAAAATATTTAAACTGAAATTAATTTTCACGAGTATTGATAGATCATGCTACTATAGGTGTCTTCATCCAAGTATTGTGTGTTCAATTGCATAGAATGGCTAACGTCGAAGTTGATACTAATTTTAACATCTATGAGTCATGTTGTGTGTATTTGCTGTCGAGTAACTTTCAAAGTGTTACAAATTCTCATAATTTATGGAAATTTATATATGTACAAATGGAGTTGACATTTGAACACTAGTTTGAGAAAGAGAAGAAATAAGGAAGATTTGAATTGAAAAGTTTTGTAGAATATGCTAATAAAATGGAGAAGAGAAGAAATTATGTTTTTTTTTTTTGAAGAAAATGACTTTTATACAGTTTTAAGTATAGGTGTACGTTCGAGATGTTTTAATAAAACATTTATTACGATTTCAACGAATATTCATCCACATCTTTCAAATAAAAAAAGGAGAAAAGCAACTATTTGAAACAAAAAGAATAACAAATGCAAAGCAAAAGATCGAATTGATCATAAAAACACTTTCATCTGACAATTCTATCTCCAAGACACACCTATTTATCAATAAATTTGTCCATCTTCTATTATTAACTGTTCAAAAGCAAATTTACACTTCTTGTTTGATTTTTCATATCCAACATGAACTCGTTTTTCTTTTGAATTACTGATACATCTTTCATACGCTTCATCATTTCTTTATCGGTAGATTGCATTCTTTCAATCCAATATTCATTCAATTCATATATAGCTTGTAAATCAGTATAATTTTCATTTTTCAAAAAACTTTTCAAACGTTGATTTCTTTCTTCATCAAAGAGTAGCTGAATTGTCCTTTTCTCTGATAGAAGTTCTTTTTATATCTTGACATAAGTTTTTATTTCTCTTCAGACTATTCTATTTACTCAAAGTGCCATCTTCTCATATTGTTTGTCTACTGACTGCTGATCTTCAGCCAGTGTGTTATTTTCAATGTTGTTTCGTTGTATAATGATGTCGATTTGTGTACTACACGAAGCATATCACTAGTATGTAGTCAGCATCTGAAACAAAGGCTTTTACTTTTATTGAATAACTTTAGTCATTATTGTAATTCTTCATCTTATGCACCAATCTATAACTTACAAATTTAACAGAATTATCAGTAGCATGAAATCTCCATTTATTGTTTTCTTTGATAAAAAACTACGTTCTCTGACGAGAAGGTTTCGATTACTACTAAAATCTCATTCAGCAATAGCATTGACATGTGACATGGGACGTATGTTGTTCATGAGTTTCGACAATTTTGGATATTTAGAATGTGTTCTGCTTCGAACGATCGAGCGCAAGGTTTTTACAATAATAATGAATTTCAAGGTATTCAACATGTTCTTTTCCTTCAGGATCATTATATTTTCTTTTAATATATCCACGAATCATTAATTATTTTAGTCGATTACATTAACTATTCATCATTAAGAAGATCAATTTCACCTGACAAGAGGACATAGATGTAGATGTAAATAAAGTGAAAATCTACACCCCAAAAAATCCTTCGCGGTATCGATCTGTTTGCTTAACATATGTGCACATGTGCTAATGATTATCATCACAATAGTAAGAGGTTTAACAAAAGAATGATAGGAGAATGGGGATGCATTGATGTTAGTATTGGTATATGATCCGACTCACATGAGCAAATTACTTATATGTACATCTCAATTTCATTTATTGGTGACGAATTCAATTGCAAATCATTTAATCTATGTTCTTGACCTATGTATGTTCAATATGATTATAACAATGGACATCCTATTCTTACTTTCGTTGTAAGACGATAGTTCGAATGACCTTCTTTGTTAATTACCAAAATATTTCTTTTAATAGAATTTTATTCGAAAAAAATGCAAGAATAACAACATTTTGCATCGTTTTAATTTTTCTTAAAACATGTGTTTCATCTTTGACTCGTTTTTAGTCTGTTCGACAATGTTTAGGATCATTTGATTCGACTGATTTTGATTAATCAAGTATCGCCTCTGACCGTGGTTCAAATCTAGAAAATGCATTAAGCAATTATAATACTTTGTTCTGCTATTTCAGCCATGTTAAGAATGTTCTTAAATGCTCACTTTTCAGTCGTCATCAAAGAAAAACAAATAAGAAAATCATCTACAATTCTAAAACACTTTAGTTCCAGCAAAATGATTATATCAATGCATAAGCTAATTTCAAAAATAAATAAGAAAAATGAAAATTATTCATAATTCCCAATGGATGATCAGGACGAAAAGAATGAACCAATACTTTCTATCAAAAAATAAGAAAGAAACATACAAAAAAACAATCATTAACTAAAATAAATGTTGTTGAGGAGCCAAGAAAATCGAAATTCCATGATTTATATCCATCAGTACAATACATAATTAAATGTAAAATTTGGGTTCAATTTGTGAAAAAGGTAAAACTATCTTGTGCACTAACTTTTTACCATGAAATAAAAATAAAAAAAACTGCGACATCGAATGAATTGGTTTATTGAAAGAGTTGTTGTTCGTTCAGCGTGGTGGTTGCAAAGATATTCAATCTTTCAATCATATTCCATTATAGCAATCGATGATCGTTCTTTGTTTATCACCAATAGATTTACTTGAAATCCTTCTGCACTCATTCCTATTTCAGAAGCGGTAAGTATAACTTGCTCTTGTCGTTCTTGCTTCTCTTCTTGCTTTGCGGTTTGTTTGTATACAAGATTCATAGCATCAAGGAGACTAATTGAAAAATATCCGATGGAACCTCTCGATTTCAATTTTCAGTTGAACATCAAGATTTTAACTATTTTGAGCAAGATGATGACTTTTTGTACACAGAGTCAATTCATGTATCACTCGATTCACAATCTCATGATATTTAAGGCACTCATATTAAGAATAATAGATCTCATGTCCTGCCATACAGTGGTCACATGAGACGACAGTTACCTATTGTGCATTCAGAACAACCAGTTCTAGTGCAGCAGCTGAACGAGTCTATATAACGGGATTTATTAATATTATCAAAACCAAAGCAATCAGCAAAGTCAGAAATATTTTAATTCACATGAACAAATTACCTTTGTAACTCGACATTTTGTTCCTAATTAGTTTGTATTTCTTCTTGCCATTCAGGTTTATTTTTACAGCACAAGTGCGTGAGAGCAAAGTGATCGACGATCTTATTCGCTTTACTTAGAAGAATCTGAATTTCCAGTTACACATAAATGCTTATCGTCAGATAGCAGGTAATAACAACAAATACCGTATTTCGATTTTCGTGCAAAACTCTGAATCATCTGGCTTTCTATGGGATGAAAATAATTGACCTAGGATACTTGCAGATCTCAAGTATATGAGAAAATCATCATCAATCTTACCTCAACTTTCTCTCGTGTTACCTTCTGTCTCTTGACAATGGTGTGACCATTGATAGGTTACCCCTGCATCGTGAGGGTTCGAAATCACAAAAGTAAATGAAGCTATCTCAACAATTGAAAGTGCACTCTCGTCAAATTATCAAACATGCTGGAAACTCTGAGATGCTCAGTAGAAGGGTTATATAAATCCAATTTTTTGCTTCGACAGGTATCTAAACAGAGATTTATTGACTGATTTCATGAAAAAAGTACAATTTTGCATTTTGTTACATGGCATGTTTTGCCTGAAAAGTGGGTAGTAATTCTAATGTGATTTCGTTGTAAGAGTAAAACTGACATACTGAAACAAGAAAACTATCTTTGTACTACTCATTAGTGTTGAAACAGGTGACAGTAAACGGCCAGTTCGGTCTAATAAGAATTTCTTACAGATCGATAGATACAGCTTTTTTTGTACTGCTCATTATAGATATTTTCAAGTGTTTGCATGTCTTTTTTTGTCAAAAAAATTCAACAAAGGGGTTTTTTTGCATGTTAAACCAATTTTACTTGAATCAATGATCATTTATATGAGGAACATGCAAGAGAATATTCCTATTAGGTTCATATTCATCAAAATACGCATACTATATTTTATCAAGTCACTTCGATATAAAGTTATTTTATCGAAACAAAATGGAATCATTGACCATTATTGTGGTTTATTATATGTAGATATCTTGATTTCCTATTTTTTATACTGAATTTTATGCTCAAACAAAAGAGATTTACAAAATAAATCTTTTATGAAAGGCAGAGTATATGTACAGTTAATTCAGATTATTTGTGTCTGATGAAAATTTACGCCCATCGATCAATGCCAAAAGAGAGAAAACTTATGGATATAGATAGTGAAGGGATCGTTTTTAGCACAATTCCTACGGAATTAAAATATTAGACAAGATGAAGCTATTATAACTCATGTGAGGAACCCAAAGAAAAAAAAACAAACAAATACGCCGTACTTCACACGTGCTTCAGCCTACTGCAAAGATATATCACAAGCATATTAATTTGAGTTCATTTTACATAAGTCTGTTTGACAACAAGGAGGAAATACATCATTTTCATTTCAAGATTTATAACTATCAGCGAAGTACGATGGCGTAAATTAAATTTTAGTGTCCAACAGACTTATATAAAATGAACTCAAACTAATATGCTGGCGACACATATTGATATTAGACTTGACATAGCTAAAACGTTATTAAAAAAAAACAATTTTGGCATAGCCTTGAAGTACATAATTTTCACTTTTTTCCTCTACAGACATATCGAAATCTCTGTCACAGTTTGTCAGTATGTTACAAGAATGTTGGCATCTTTGTGACGGTCTTTGAAGCAAGCTGGAGAAATAGAATCAATTTTCTCTCCATAGACCTTAAAATTCATCAACAATCCTATTTCACAACAGCATTATATATAGTGAAATAGAAGTCTTACGTAATTTCTATAGTGAATCAGAGGTAGATATGACTAATCAAGGCGTGTCGATTGGACTCTTCTCTTAAAAGATGAAAAATGTGGAAAATGACTCATGTCAATCTACCGGCCGGTGCGTTTGAGTCTGACCAATTTAGACCGGTACCGGTAAAGAAAAATCCCTACGGAGTTGCAACATTGTCGAAAATCGTAATCATCAGATTTTTGAAATAGATCATCAGAGCACTGAAGAGTACACTAGTTGCCAGTCAAGTTATGTTAAAGTTGATTCATCGCTCAACTCAATTTTTACGTTACAGATTGAAGAAATTATTACATCATGGTATTTTTTACGTCATTAAATGACACTTGACTTCGAACATGTGTGATTATAGATTCACTTGGAGTCAATATTGTGTCAGATTATTTCTGTCTTAAACATCAACAAAGAATTATTTTATTTGGCAAATAACTCTTCAAAACGAACGATTTGAAGTCTGAAGAAGAAGTTCATATAGAAAAACCTGTATCAAGATATGAATCAGATATTGTTATATGTTAATAAAGAACTAATGCACAATATGTTTCTTCAATTGGTCAACATGATAGAGTATTGCTATTGTTGCAATCAAATAGCTTGTACAACGACTGTTGACTTGCGAATATTCACTTGGCGTACAATCGACAATTTTATTATCACAATAGTAGATTGACATTGTCCGAAGATGAATTACAATTAGTTTGACTGTTTCATAGTTGTTTTATTATCAGAATGATCGTGCTGTCTTTATGTGCTCTGAAATCCAAATCATAGTGATGTATAAATTGTGTAAAAGAATTTTCGAAATGTGATCACGATAAAAACAGAAATGTCTCTCGATAAATCTTCTCAGTATCGTTCGACCGAGTTGATCATGCCTTTGGTACCGTTCGATTTGAATCAAAGACCACAATATGTGTTCCACTGTTTGGTCCAAATACAATCCGTTCACGCGGATGCGCGTGATCGAGAAGAGACGATCCATATTTACACTCCAATAAATGTAAAATCTTGTCTTTGTACATACCACATTAAAGTCTTCAATAAATGCAATCGATTAAAATTGAATAAAGGCATATTTTTATTTGAGACACGCGTGAGAGTAGATTGTAGATTTTTGCATATGTGTATATTTATGTTTCTATCAGCGAACATTCGAAGATGAGATTTGTATGTGAATTAACGGGCTTAAACATAGTAAATTTGCGTAACGAGAATCTTCCATTTTTATTTCACTACTTTGATAATGCGCGTGATAAGTTTTGCAATCATTCTGAAGATGAATAAACAGTAATTGAACTTAATTTTTTTTTTTGCACACCTTCCTGAACTTTTTGATTATGCTGTATAAGAAAAGATTATATTTCCTAGTATATATGTACTGCTAGAACCTCTGGGGTCGCCAGTTATCGCCAATTAAAAAAAAAGATTATATACGTGACCAACTATGCGTAGATGTCAGCTTCTATTGGTCATAGGTTAGCGTCCTCTGTTATGATATTTCAATTCGGAGATAGCTTTTGTGAATTTTTCTCATTCGCCTGGAACAAGATCAAGCTAAATGAAAAAGCATGTAATATAACTGGGAGTATACAAGGTAAACCTAATTGACCAATCACCCAATATTATTATGATTACCTATGAAGCGCACCAGCACCTAGTGGCTGACGACGTGGAAGGCCAACGATTTATTTGTTTTGAAATAAAGCAAAAAAAAACTTTTTTTTTCCTTTTCTTCTCTTTTTTTGACACTTAAATATATGAGTAAGAAGTTTTCTATTCTATTTTACAGATGTTAATAATGAAAATTTAATCATTTTCGTGTTGTATAACCAAGATTTTTACTATCAATAATCATTTCCAATAGATAAAAACGAATATAATTATTAACAAATGGGCAGTCTATTAAGTGTTTTTTCTGGCCTATTTGGTAATAAAGAACGACGTATACTTATTTTGGGTCTTGATGGTGCAGGTAAAACAACAATACTTTATCGTCTTCAAGTCAGTGAAGTTGTGACAACTATTCCAACGATTGGTTTCAACGTTGAAACTGTACAGTATAAAAATTTAAAATTTCAAGTTTGGGACCTTGGTAAAATTAATATAACATTTCATATTATATTTTTTCTTTTTCTTTAATATTTTTCGTTTGTTCTTTTTCAAGGTGGTCAAACATCCATTCGTCCTTATTGGCGTTGTTATTATTCAAATACCGATGCTATTATATATGTTGTTGATTCCATGGATCGTGATCGTATAGGTATATCAAAACATGAACTTATTTCAATGCTTGAAGAAGATGAACTTAAAAATGCTGTGTTATGTGTATTTGCTAATAAACAAGATCTTGATGGTTGTATGACTGTTAGTGACGTAGCTAATTCACTTGGTTTAACATCATTAAAAAATCGAAAATATCAAATATTTAAAACATCAGCTATTAAAGGTACTGGATTAAATGAAGCGATGGATTGGTTAGCAAATTCATTACAACAAAAAAAATAAATTATATGATATAACATGAAATATAAACTTGATAGGCCAATTATTACTTCTTTTTTTTTTTGTTTTTGTTTTTCAAATGGGATGAAACAGGTATATATGATTTAATTGTTTTGCTTCGTATATCCCCTTAATAAATGTGAATATTGGCAACATAAACATATTCATTTGCTTTGTTTGTTTTTGTTCTTAATTTTGTTTCTTCTCTCAGTATTTTTTATTATGTAAACATATACACATAGAAAATGCACTTATATTCATGTTTTTCTGTCATGGTTTATGTTCTCCAAAGGATTTAATGTTACTTTAATTTATTAAAAATAAAAAAAACAAAAAACTGGCCATTTCATTACTAACGAAAATTCGAATGTTTATTTAATTTTAATTGTATAGCGAAATTATTCTTGTATTAATCTTAATACAAGCAAATGAATATGTAAATAATTTGTTTTAATATTAGAAAATTAATAAAGATAGTACGGCGTCATTCTGAAGAATACTTTATTTATTCAATATCGATTTGACTTTTAAGATTGTTTGTTCTATTTTGAATAATTATTCATTGTACATTTAGATATCAAGTATCTGTTTAGAAACATTTTTCTTTGTGTTTTCTTTAGAAAAAGAAAAAGAAAAATTAGATTCATTAAAACTAAACTTGATTCGAATTGACTGATATTTATGAACAAATTTTCCTGAAACTAGGAAATTTTTTTTCTTCATATTATTTGCTAGCAACATCAAATTAAAAGTTCTCATATTCAAGTAAACAGATAACTCTAACATACATCTAAATTTTTTCATTGAAAAATTCTGAAGAAAAAGACTCTTTCTAAGAATAAACTCATCAATATTAATTAACTATGTCCATCTTATTGAAATACAGACATACTTCTTCTCAGATTTTGCTACGATATTAATGAACTAGCTATAGATATGTGTATTTCAATTAATATGAGTAAAAATATAACTTTCAGAAAATAGAAAGTTATTAAAAGAAAGAAAAAAAAAAAGAAAAGATGAATAAAAAAAAGTGAAATTCAAACTTATTCTTTTCCTTCATCAAAATCATATCTTTGTATGATACATGAATCAGATATTGGTTATATTTTTGTTCAGTAAGAAAACAATTATTGGAACTTCTAATAATAACTTAAAAAATTTATCTTCATGGACTCATGTAAATTAATTGACTATAAATATTAAAGTGTTATGAATTTATAATTTTTTTTTTTGGAAGGAAAAATATGAATTATTGGTTTTCTTATATAAAAAATTTTAAATACGTCCTTTCGAACAAAGAAATATTTACTTATTATTAGAAATCAACTTAGTTGTACATTAGAAGTTTTTATTTCTTAAAATTTTCTTGATTATTTTGGTTTATTTGAAATAACTTCATACGATTTATTCATGAAGTTTCTCACACATTTTTGTGATTTTATATCTATCAAATATAAAATGTAAATAACGATCATTTTTAAACAAACATAGTTTATATTTTTGATTAAATAGTTGTATTGTAAATCTTGTAAAAAATACACCTAAGAAAACAGACTGCACAGATGCTATTTACAGTAGTTGTTGTATCTAATGAGACGCATATTAAATCATATCATTTTAATAATATTAGTTGATGTTAAATACATTGGACTCGTTGTCTGAAGATTGTATCATACAAAAGTCAACTGTTGCTAATAGATATTGATAGTTTTATTTTTGAGAAGAGAACAAAATTGAAATATTCAATAAAGACTACTTCTTAAAAAGATGATAATTAACATAAGTATAGGGAAATAAAGGTCAAAGTTTGATCTATTACGAATGGCATGATATTTTACCCCCACTTTTTTGATAACTTCTGTCATCATCTGCTTGAAAATATATTCTATTTTCAGAAAAGACGGAAATCGTTTTTGTTTTTTTCCCTGTGGATCTTCAATCATACAGTTAATTTTGTTTTTATTTGAAAGAGTATGTCAAGATGAAGGGCAAGATAGAATTCTTTTTTTTCAGTAAGCCTTGTTACTATTATGTAAAAGAGCACTTTTGTGATTAAACCGCTATATTTAGAGAGTTTTTGAGACATTCAATTTTTCTCCTTTTAAAAAGTAAGAATCTTAAGATGAGAGCTCTTTCATGCTTTGCATCCTGATCAAGTGCTTTAAACATTAAAAAAAAACATTCAATACATACAACAAATACCTAGGGAGAACTTTAGCTTACCAAATGACCTACTTTCGACTCTTGTTTATTGAGTATGGTTGAAAATTTTCCCATAGCCATATCATTAGAGTCCCAACATATAATAATAACTTCATGCTATTTGAGTGTACCTAACTCAAGATCGATTTTTGAGGGGACTTAACAAAAGAATATCAGTCTATGAAATATCACAAAATTTCGATGAAAATAATATTTGAAAAAAAGAACTCTTATAATTACAGTAAAATTATGCAACATAAGCCTATCAACTAATACGATCGAATACATCTCTCATGTTTAGTATTATCATTCAGATTAGCCTGAACTTTCATTATTTTAAATATCCGCACTTGCTTTTCTTTGTAAAATGTAAGCATCCATTTTTTTAATCGCCATAATTGTGTGAATAACATAGGACGTCTCAGTTCGCATCTATTTCAATGTTCTAGAAGCATTTTAAAAGTTTATATACTAGAGATAAGTGGAAAACTACATGAATAGAAAAAAATGATGAAAACTAAAAATTTTCAAAAAATGAAAATTCTATACACTGATCCACACCTTTCTTTATTAGTATAAATATCCAGCTTGCTTGTTTTATATAACTTCTACTCTCTTGCCTTTTCTTTATATCATACAGATTATCATCTTCATCGTCATTAGACCTTTTGATTTACATGCGATTGTTGTTAGTTTTATTGGTTCCAACTGATTCTTTCACGACGCTTCTGGAAAATCACTATAATTGTATCAAGATCTAATATAAGATCATCATACGAATCATTTTTTACATAAACATTTTCTAGATTGTTCACTAGTGTAAGTACATACATTGAAACTTTTTTAAACGATTGATTTTTATTACGTAATGTAAAATCATTTGTACTTTGACTGATTATCATTGATTCAGACATCTTCTACTGAAGAAATTACAAAAAGCAACGATTAATATTCATTGTTTTTTTTTCAATTTTTATTGATTCATTGAAAATTTCTGTATTTTATATTGATAAAAATAATGAACTTGTTTGATTTCCTTATTCCTAAAAATGTACGTACTTATCTTATCGGGTTTTTTTTTATCTTGACAGAATCGATAAAAATATATCATCATTTTATGATGATATTCTTCTCAGCTAGACAGAAAGTATATAAAAGACTTGATCAAAAACTTATTTGCATGACCGTCCTAAGCGTATTGTGTATCAAAAAGAGATGTCAAATAAAAAGTAAAAATATTACAATGAGATTCTGCTTATCTGAAAAACAAATATTGTTAAAACACAGATCAAATCGAAATGTAATATATTATATACAAAAAATTATCTAAGAATATTATGTAAAATAAACTACGTTCGTGAAGATTATGAAACAAATCAGGAATGAGAAAAACGTTTATAAACAAGTATATAAATATTGAATGTTCGAAATTAAGGTGAAAAACAACTTCAGATCAAGTAGTATAGTGAAAGCTGTAGAATCTAGAGATGAAATTAGTATCGATGCGAGTTTCAAACCGACTAGTCTAACTTGTTTACTTTTCTACTTTTATTAGATGAAACTATGTAGGGAATTTTTTCCGATGTTGATCACATCAAATGAAACTATCTAGAAATGAAATAAGGACAAACATTTGTCTAGTCGATCTGTCGATTCAATCCAGTCTGACCTATTCGAAACGGTTTCCTCTTTTATGGAATCTAATTTTTATGTCATAAAGTGTCGATCATAATAGTTTCCTAGTAAAGTTTTTCGCTAGCTGATCAATGTTTAGTAGTGTCCTACATGAATGTGACCTTTCACAATCGAACTCAGTTCGAGGCTTATCGACATTCGGTCGATACTTACACAGTCACAGTATGGTTTTCGAACTTTTATTTCATATGAAAAAATATGTTGTTTAGTTTCTTCCATAAACATCAACAAAAAGAAAAAAGATCATTTCGAGTTCTACGAAAAAGCTAATTTTATAGGATTCACTAAGAGTCTTTCTGCTTCTAAGATCCAATCGATTTTGCTAAGAATATGTTTTCTTTTTGTTGCGATGACGCTGAAATGGAACATAGCCTTGGTACCAAATGTCATAATTGTGAATATATAAACATAATCCTTTTCTCATCATGATAACACATGTTCATCCTTTTGACAGTCCATTTTTCTCTCATGTATTCAGTTACTTCGTCATATGATTCATCATTATCTGTAGATGAATTTTCATTAAAAACTGAATCCTTTTATTAAAACAATATTCCTTTTCATTTATGTGAGCTGTTCGCTCAAGTATAATAAATTGCTCAATCATGATTGAAAAATTTTTCATATCTATCCTTTTGTTTAAATTAACAGCTTCAAAAAGGACAAAGTAATTTGAAACATCGAGATCTCATTAATAGCTGAGTCACATTTGAACATAAGATCCTACTTAAAACTCGGCCTGACAGCTGTTTCATGCTCCGATTCAAGCTCGATGTCGAGTATCTAGTGAGTAGAATATGTATAAAAACTTCAATATACATATTTAAAATCTACTTAAAGACTTTCACAAACAACATTAAAAAGTACATTCGTGAAATTTAAATAGTATTTGAAGACATGAATATCAGACTTTTTAAAATCAGAAATGAATTTTGAAGCAAATGATGAAATACGTTCATTAGAGGAAAATCTTGATCTTTATAATTTCTTTCAGTTAAAACTTTAATCATACATGAATTTTAATCATTAATGATATTTTAATATCACTTGATCTTTTCTTGTTAACTTCACAGTTTTTTTTTTGTCTTACAACATTCTTTTAT